ACACACACACACACACACACACACGCACACACGCACACACACACACACACTCACATACACATGCACATACATTCTCTTATCTATTGATGGGGAGTGCCACCTGCTGGAAACTGGGTCCAACGTTCCGTGAACATTGTGAATAAGGCATCAACCGAGACCCCACACACACACTCTCTTCGAGTTGTGTATAGCGAACATGACAAACCATACATACAACAGATTCACTACCTTACCCTTCCTGAACCACATAAACAAACGACCTACGGGCTGCGCACCCGTGCCCTCACGGTAAGTCAATTAGGTCTGGAGGGAGTGTCACGGCTACTGTGGAATCTGGGAGTTTCACTACCCCGAGTTAGGGGAAAAGTCTAGGCTTGTCTCTGGCTCATTTCAAGAGGGGAACAATTCGCAGCCCGTCAAGGGTGCGTTTTCCCTCCCTGAGACATTTTTCGTCGTCGTCGCCAAATGGTGCGGTAGTTGGAAGGGTGGTGTTCGCAGCCCGTCAGGGGTGAGTTTTATGCCCCTGAGAACATTTTTCGTCGTCGTTCATTATACGGTCGTTGGAAGGCTGGAAAAACAAGGCATGGTAGTTTAGGGGGTGGTGACATTTTATTTGAAACTGCACGACTGGTAGCTGCCCGTGGGACCGCACGGGTTTTGGTCCAGGACCGTGCAGGACCGGTAGCTGCGCGTAGGAGGCCGAGGAGGCTGCAGTCCGGGTCCACTTTTCTCGAATAGCAAAGTTCCTCGAATAGAAAATGTACCTGTTGTATTCGAATACAACCTGTACCCTTTCTATTCGGATTTCGAAAAGAAAAGACTCTTGTATTCAGATAAAATTACTTCTTCTTTTGTTGGAGGTTAGTGCCTGCCCTTGTGCTCCCCGTTGTCTCGCCCCCACTGCTCCAAGGGTCTGGTTAGATGTCCTTCCCCGGCCCGAGCTCAGTGGGTTGGAGGACTGGCAGGCTGTCACCCAAGATTTTGATAAGTATAAAATAAAGGTGTATTTAGAGGCAGTCACACTTTGTCATACAGCCGAGTAGTCAGGGTTATCCCTCCTGCCAGCCACAACACGGCTTAGAGTGAGGCGTTCGGGTTTATCGCCTGCACCTGACCCCGTATAAAGGTTAGACCCAAGGTCACCGGAGTCCCTATCATCCAGGAGTCCTTCAAGCTGCCTTGAGTGTCACCTGTATAAAATAAGGAGGAAAATAACAAACATGCATCATAGAGCAATTGACAGAAAGAGAAGACCAGAAACCAGACTCTGCAAGAGCATGACCAGAGATACAAGGCTGAAGAGTAGTACACAGAGTATGCAGGGAGCAGCCATCGGAGGGCTGCAGTCGCTAATAAATAATAATGTCGTAATACATCATAGTGACTGAAAATAGAGAGCCTCAATCAATGATAATAAGCGGTACCCCCTCGTGAGTAGGTGTTATCGTCTGGGACTCCATATCTGGCACCTCGTCATTGAGAACCCGCGTGGTTATAGACTCTGGAACCACATAACTGATATCGAGAGGCATTGCTGGATCAATCTTGCAGCTATAGGCCATGCATCTCGCCATCTCCTCGTCTGCGACACTCCTGAGATAAAGCTCCTCTGCAAGAGTGGTGTCACCTGAAGCTCCAATCAGTATCTCAATCCGTCCTCTCCCACCAGAGTAGATGTAGGAAACCTCGAGAAAACGATCTCCGTGAAGAGGTTTTCGAAAAGCCTGTATAGCAAAGTCCGTCCCAACCAAATGACTGTAACCATCTCCGACATATGGGACCGGACCCTCCCCTCTTGGGGGACCAATAACTGTCTCGGACCTAGGGTCGTCTGACATGTAGGAGTCAATCACCCTCAAGTAGATACCGTGCAAGAAGATGTGCGATCCTCCTCAATGTCGCTCTCCGTCGTCTCCGCTCACCGGTCTTCAGCGCTCCTGCTACTGTCCAAAGAATCAGTCCCTGTGAGTGTCCCAGTCGAAATAATCGCCAAGATCAACGTCACTCACAGAGCAGGCCTCCAAGTCCGACTCATCTGTCTCTGACCTCTGTACGCATGTGGTGATTGGGACCCCGGATCTGGTTATCTCTCTCCTGATCCGGTCGTCCTTCCGCCTCTTCTCCTTGCAGCGGAGCTCACTAAGGGGCTTGGGATTGCATCCGTCAAAATCGAAAAGCACA